GAAATTTCTTTCAGTTTAAAATTGTTTAAATTTTTAGAATATTAGACTAAAAATAATTGAAATTTTAAATGAGAAACTACTAAAAAATACTGGAAGTATATGTTTGAAATAAAATAAATTGATTGAAATATAATTAACCATGAAAAATATATGCACATTGATATATGAAAGTCAAGGTTTGAGTTTACTTCTGTTATTATTGTGTTTATTCTGTTATAGAGCCCAAATGTTACTCATATGAACTAGCCCACTGGAACTTTAGTTTGTTATGCGCAGAATATTTGGATGGAGTTACAATACAATCAAAAATTWTAGGAAAAATGTTTACCATTTCTAAGAGAAAATTACACACCCTGTTCAGAATATATTTTTCTGGGTATGCTCTTTTCAACTTTCATATTAATCAAACCGAAATTTTGGATGGAGAATCCGAATAGGCATAGATCATCAAAAAATTAACTTGCAAACTTCAAAATTATTATCTTAATAATCTTTTCAGAYAGAAATTTTTTGAGATAATTTTACTTTGCATTTTTTTACCAAAAGATCCAATATATCTCTACCAGAAGAAATACTAAGTCTTTTACTCAACTAAGTCCTGTAAAAAATATTTAAACGGCAATACATCTTTAAACTCTTAGAAAAAACACATAACATATTTGCGTTAAATAAAATAACAAAAACAAAAAGAAACTAGAATATGTTTTTCTTGTTGTCAAAAATTGTCGAATTTATTACTATTACTTTAGTCACACACTCACTTAATCTGCCATAAATTTTAATATTTTCCTCTGAACCATCTGTGAAATTATTTGGATAATAATAAGCAAACATCTGGTGCTGGCAATTTGCCACATTTATTAACAAAAATACCCCACTGAATGAATTTCAGAAAATGAAATTGTGCACAAATTTTGAAGGTGTAGAATAACTGAAAGATATTTATTTTTATAGAAACATATTTACTTTACCAAGTTAGAGATACACTTCTAGTTAAATGAACTACATTTAAAATTCATTATTTGGGGTACTCACAACGTGTCATAAAGTTATAAGTCATAAATAAAAATTAAGACAAAATACAATGATTGTGAACACGTCGTTATAAATTCGTAGTCGTAAATCACTTATCAATCAGCTGATTGAAAAAACATAAATRACAATATTTGCAAAAATAAGTATTTCGCAGTCAAAATRCCAAGGAGAAGTGAAAATTTTAAAATAATGGATSCGCTCTGCAACAATCAGGCATTAAACCTGATGATACTTCAGTCAAGTGAGTTTTACCATTATAAGCAAGTCTCACTTTGATGTTTATTTACGTAAAAATTAATTTCCAGGCGACGACGAAGATGCGGACGAAATTTTTGCATATTTTTCATTGACTTTACTACTTTGTTTATTAAACACTCGTAGAAGTGTTCATCTCGGAATACCAAAGTCATCCCAATGGCGACATAATGTACTTAGGAACCTTGATGATGATATGTATGTGTGTAAAAGTAATTAATAAAAATAAACTTCAGGTGCATTAATGCACTTCAGGTAGTTTAAAATTCTCTTGCACCACTTCTTCCAATTCTTCCACTTATTTGTATTTGTATTTCAATTCCTCCATTGCCAATCTTTCTTTCATTTGCTCATTTTTAATTTTTCATTACTTTCCAATTATTTTAGTTTCATCTCCATTTCTTTGTGTKTTAGTAATAATTCTTGCTTTTCCCTTAACTCCACTTCTTTTTCTTTAATCATCAATTCCCTTTCCCTTAATTCCAACTCATTCTCCTTAAAATTCATTTCTTGCTCAATTTTCTGCTTTTTCAGCTGTATCATTCAGACATTCAGAAATTGCAGAATATCCGATGCCGCAGTTCTGGCATATATTCCTTTACGAATTGTCTTATTTATACATTCGCCGTCGCATATAGCCGCAGAAGACGCTGACTCGTTGAGGTCTACTTCCGAATAGTTTTCATTGTTCTCCAAACTGTTGTTGATTACTCTTGACTCAACCACTCTACCGCCGAAAATTTCATCCATTTCATAAAAAAACGTACACATTTTTAGTAAAGTGGCTGAAATAAAAATGTCTAGTTATTCTAAGTACCACTGGAAGAATGAATAACATTTAAATTCTCAAGTTCTGATGCGATTTACTAGTCATTCCGCTTATTTTACGGTTTGAACCATTTACAAAAATTCGTAATTGTCCTCAATACTATTTACTTCACTTCTATACGCACGCAGAAACAGTGAAAATTTAGTTTTATTTACAAAACAAAATTTTACCTTTCATAGTTTCGCCTTCCATACTCTCTGCACCCCTCGAGCCTTCCCACGCTTTTGCTTTGTTATATGTTGTACGCATATAACGAACTTTCGAGCGTTTCAGCTTCCAATCTACCGCAATGTTGCTCTCCTTTGAACATCGTCCATAATACATCTTAGACATTGGCTTCTATAATTAAAATTATAATAGATTACTTCTAAGTTGTATTTTAATTAATAGATTTACCTCAAAATCCCTGTTTTGTGTCAAAAATTCGATCAATGCCTTTTCTTCTTCAAACAGCCACTTTCTGGTTGGGTAGGAACGCACCCGCCTTGCTTTTGTCTAAAAGCTCATTAAGCATTACTTAAATTGTATTTATTATGCATTTTTATATTACCTGTATAACATTATATTGCTCCATTATTCCGAAAACCCCCGACAAAAGTAAATTGAAAGTAATTTAAATTTAAATACAAATGTAACCACAACACAAAAGCAAATTGATGTAAACAGAAATCAGCTGATTAGTTATGACGAATCGAATACATAGCGTTCAGAGTTGTACTTGTATAAACTTATTTTAGTATGCAATCCAACAAAAAAATGTTTACTCTAGCAAAAAAACTTATGATTTTACGATGCTTTAAGACACGTTGTGAGTACCCCAATTGTTTCACAAATTATTAAAATCGCTTAGGCAACATTTTGGTTAAAATTTTTCAATGGTTCGTTTGTCGACAGTAATTAAAACATAATTAATAACTTGTTAAGTGACACTTCTTACCTCTATTGTTGTAACCGTTTGAATTTTTTTAGTGTTAAATGCTATAATCRGTCATTCATCTAAACTAACATTATTATTCTTCATGTAATAATATAAGGCAGGCGGTGCTTATGCCTTTTGCTGATATTTATACGATTTTTCACCTACATCACAATGGAAAATCACTTTGCATGAGAAATTGACGTTTCGTAAACCCTGAAGAAAACAAATATAATATTCTAATTAATCTTTTCATAGAACAAAATTTATTAAAATATATTGTGCACTGCAAAAATTAGTTTTTATTTTACTGCTTATATTCTTTCTAAAGAAACAAACGTGCAGCTGAAAAACGGTTCAAGTGCTAATATCGTAAAAATGGAGAATTAGCATACACTCTTAAATGACCTGCTATTTTGGTCAAATATAGTAATAATTTGTTCATAATTTTAAAATTCTTAATTTATGTTGACTTAAAATGGTTTCCACGAAATGGTCGCTTGAGTTTCTTGAATAGTCAAAAGTCGTATCGATCTTAAGCAAATACGATGGTTGCGCCAATATCGTGGTTGAAAATTCGACAAACAACTCGTGAAGAACTATTGCAGTATCGCAGTATTGCAGTATGTTTATCATGTTGCAAAAACCAAGAGATGTTGGTGCAAAATTTCGGCATCCTTTTACGAATAGCTTCTCACAAACGACGCAAAACACTCAAATAGTAATCCTTGTTGACATGTTGTCCAGCCAAGGATCCAAGGATTCGGAGTGCACCAAACCTCGATAATCGAAGAAATAGATAGATTCAAGACTCACAGTAATAATGTTAATAACGTTTTATGTCATCCTGTAGCCGGACAGCATTGTTGTTAATCACCGATTCTCCAGCACCAAATCCTTTACTTTATTAACGTTTAATACATATAACGGTATAATCTCTCTGAACATTAATATACTTGCGCCAACGGTCCATCAATCTGTGGATCCCATCCCTGAAGTGAGAATCATGAAGGTCTGCAAAATACGCTTCAACAGCCATTATGACTTCTTCCTTTGATAAAAAGCGCTTGCCAACCATACATTTTTTGAGTTCTGGAAACAAATCGAAGTCGCTGGGGGCCAAATCTGGTGAATACGGTGGAAGCACCAACAATTCGAATTTTAATTCAAGAATTTTAGCCATTGTCAAAATGCTCTTCTGACACGATGCATTGTCCTGATGAAAAAGGATTTTTTCACGAATTTTTTTCACGAATTCTTTTCTTCAACTGGTCTTTAGCCACTTTTTTTTAATTCAGGATCATGGGATTGGAGGATAGACCCAAGTTTCTTTCATAGTGATGAAGCGACGCACATAATCCACTTTATCGTTTTTAAAACGCTCCAAATGTGTCTGAGAGAGTCGCATGAATGTGCTTTTGTTCCATTGTTAACGAATGAGGCACCCATTGCGCACTAAAACCCAAAATTTCAGTTAAAATATGGCTCACACTCGCCTTCAAAGCTTATACGACCACGTTTAAATTCAGCAACCCATCTTTCTACTGCTGTAATTGTAGGTGAWCAATCGTTATTCATCGTTCGTGAGTTTTTTTGGTGCTTCACCTTCCAAAAATAAGAATTTTGTCAACGCACGATATTCCATTTTCATTGTAAAAAAACCTTTCGCACGGCGACACTACGTGGCTTGTAAACAAAGAATGAATTGACAGATTAGAACGAAGTTTCACATAGTATATGTTCATACGAAATGTGTTCCAACAAAACAAAAAAAATTTTTGGTATAGTAGCAACAACCTCTTTTATCGAACGACAAAACTTATTAAACAACCTGTACATAATGTACATATTATCGTAGTTTAGAGTATAGATATGTATACAGCCAATCATAGTACCGTATAATCTTCATACATAATTAAACAATTAGCAAACCAYTTTTATAAAGCTTATTCTCCTTCTAATTTTTGAGTGGTCTCCCTGCTATTATTATTCTTGTTATTCCAGCGTAATAATTGACAAATCTGTGCTTGCAGTAAAAATACATTGAGGTTTTGATTAGTTCAATGACGAGCGAGACACCAGCAAAGTAATTTGTAAACAACAAATAAGAATAAGTGAGAGAACATAATCTGGCGGTTAGTTAATTAATTAAGTAATAGTAGTTATTATTGTAATTAATAGACGGCAACYTACTCGTACAGGCTAGCCAAGTCGTTGTAAGCAACAGGAAATTGCGGTCAACCGGTATCATAATGAATGCCTAARATATTAGGTTTCCACAAAAGTCTAGCGGTATTTTTATTGAATTTTCAATTGTTCACAAAATTGTTTTTGATGACTCATGCCCAGCTCTTGACCGATGCTACGGCTGCTACTATGCCGGTCTCTTTCGACCAATTCAGCGATTTAATCGCAATTTTCGACGACAGGCCTTTCGGAGCGTGGCGCATCTTCGACCACCTCTACACCAGAACGAAAACGTTGAAACCATTGTTGTGCAGTAGAAATGGAAACTGTATCGGGTCTGCACAAATTTTATTGGCGGCTTGAGATGCATTTTGCCGGCAGGCAAGCTAGGCGTACTTCCGTTGATATTTCTCACAATGTTGGTTAACTTGAACATAGTGCTAAATGGGGATGTTGGATATACCCAAAGATTGAACGTTGTGAAAGGGAAAAATCGTAATTGTGTGAACGGATGAAAAACATATATATACTCATTTATTTATTTATTTTTTATGAAATATAATTATAAATAATTACATTACATTTAGCAAGGCAACTAGTAACTAAGACTATCGGCCTGACTTATTACTAAAAGGTTTTATATTTTATTATAAAATACTCTAGAATAAGGTAATATTAAAAAATAAGTATCGAAGTAAATAAATGATTACACAAGGTGCAAAAGGTTAATTTGGTAAATTAAGTTAAAGATTTTTTTTATGTTTCCAATTTCTAAGGATATCAATATCTTTAACATATTTGTGGGCAATTCATTTCCAAATAAATTGACTCGCGTATTTTTATATTTTATACACTCATCGAGGATATGCTTTATGGACAGTGCGCAGTTGCACGCTGCACAGTAAGGAAGCGGTTCCCCTTTTAACAAATATTCGTGCGTTAACTTTGTGCGACCCAGTCGTAATATGGTGATAATTMGAAGTTGATCTGCCGTCGCTGAAACCGGGAGTGTTGATGCGATTTTGATTGTGAACTTTGTATCCATGTTGATTCGTTTACCAGTTAGTCGCAGTTTACCCATCCCGACATCACCCTTGCCTCCACACCAATTGCACCCAAACTTTCCTCCAATACACTTCAAGACCTCCATAATAGTGACCATTTTCCGATTATAACCTCCGTTTCCATCCATAATTGGTATAAAGTAAGACCCACATCAAAGTTCTTAACGGAGAAGGCAGATTGGGCAAACTTTCAACGTCTGTCTGTTTTATTTTCGGACAACAAACCCCTGGCAAAAAACATAAACGCTGAAGCTGCCACTATTAAAACAATCATCCGATCAGCAGCACATTACGCGATACCCCAGTCCTTAAAAAATGGAATGTTGGCGAAAAACTATATAATATAATAAAATCGTTTTTGAACCACCGCAAATTTTTTGTTATTGCCAATAAGCATAAATCCGGCCTACATGATCTGTTTAATGGTATACCACAGGGATYACCTCTTCCTGTTGCGTTATTTACCATTGCGTTCAACGAAATAAGTACAATTATAAGTTCTAGTGGAGCTGTCAAACACTGTATCTATGCCGATAATGTTTTAACATTCTCTCAAATTCAAGATCTAAACCAAGTTAAACACATATTTTTAAATATATTGAAAACAATAAGTAATTGGTCAAAAATTTCAGGCGCTAATATTTCGCCTAGCAAATCTAAAACTTTTCACATATGTCGGAAACAAAAGTGCTCCTTTCCTAATATATCCTTTTCAAGCGTTGATCTCCTACATACTAATAAATTAAGAATCTTAGGATTTATATTCCACAGCAAATTAACTTTTAAAGAGCATTGTAAATATGTTAGAGTAAGTCTTTTTTCTAGATTGAATATAATTAAATTCTTATCTTCTAAACACTGCTCAGTACATACAAAACCTCTTGTCAATATAACAAAAGCTTTCATATTATCTAAAATTGACTTCAGACTTTGTATTTACGGACATTGCGTTAATACAAACATTAAGCTCTTGAACGCATTCTACCACGCAGTCAGAAAAAGCATTCGCGCGTTCCCAACGTCAAAAATTAAGGCAATTCTATCTGAAGCTGAATTACCACATATAAACTACCGGACCGTGCGTACCACCATGATGTTTACACCAAGGCTATTTCACTGCAGAAATGAATTAATTTTTTCGCAAATAAATTGTTCTATACGAAATCTTAAGACTAGTCGTGAGCTGTCTACTATTATGCGTTGCTTAAGTCTAGTTCAACAGCTGAACATCGTAACCACTTCATCACTTCTTAAAACTTCAGAGTATCCTCCAAGTGCGCTTCCAAATTTATCACTCGTCAACATCATACTTAAGTTCCCAAAATATTCTACCAGCAGTAATGAGTACAAACAAATGTTTAATGCGGTATTAGAGTCCTTAAATGGTGATTGGAACTTGTATTATACGGACCGATCCAAGTCAGACCCCAGCACAACGTTTGCTGTGACAAACCAGCTAGGTGTTACTATTATGGTCGGTTCCTTGCCATCCTACAGCTCGGTAT